AGGGTTGTGTGGGACCCCTTGGCTGGGTGAGGCTGCTCCTGCCACTGGCAGGTGGGGCTGGAGCAGCCACATCCTGCAGGACCTGAGCGTGGGTGGGATGTGGTGCCAGTCCCGGGGGCTGCAAAGTGCTTGAAATCTGTGGGCATCAGACTTGGTGCCCAAAGCAGCCTGATTCAGTCCAAGCAGGGACTGGGTTTCTGGTTTTCTATTGTATTTCAGCTGTGGCCATCAGGTGGCAATCTGATCACTAGGATCATTCCCTGTGCTAAGTCACTGCCTGGGTGGGTGCTGCTCGGTGCCTTCCAGTGCCCTCTGGGATTTAGGGACGTGTCTTCCCAGCCCGGGGCCGTGCCTGGCTGGGCCCTGCTGAGGAGGTTCCAGCACGACCCAGCTGGGGTGAGGCCGGGCACAGGGCAGGGACCTGGTGCAGGTTCCCTAAGGTCAGGTCCAGATGGGCAGCAGGACCTGCAGGGGCTGGGGAGCTGCTGGCAGGGCTTGAGCATCATTCTCCTGAGTGTTTGCACTCCTGGCTGAGTGAGGCTGTGATGCTGCTGATTCCTTCCAGCTCTGCTGGTCTGCAAATCTTGTCTAAAAATGACTTGATTTTTCCTGGAGGAGCATCCTGAAGTGTCCAGCAGAGACAGGCTCCTGTCAGCCCAGAGCTGGAAGTGGAGGCAGTGATGTTTCCTGGAGGTGTGAGGGCTCTGTGCCTGCTCCCTGACCCAGCCCTGGATCCACACTTGATTTTGTTTGATTGTTTTGTTTGCTTCCCTGGGGATGTTTCTAAAGGAAAACCCGTGCAGTGCAGGAACCTCCATAGTTCCTGAGGAGTTGTGGTGGCAACGTCCCTCTTTGGGCTGGAGAAGATGTTTGAGGTCACCCACTGCTCTTCCTCAAGAGCCAGAAAGATGGGAATGAATCCCAGGGCAGTCCTGGCTTGGTGGGAATTTTTCTAGTGCCTCCTCTTAAATTGTAATAACCCCATAACAAGCAGTTCTAGATGATACTACAGGTTTAATACTTGTGTGTACATTTCTAAACTCACAGCCAGGAAGGAGCTGCGAAGGTTGAATACTGAAGTAAAAACAAACCAACACATTTTCAGCAGCCAGTTCATCCCAAGGAGAAGCCTGTCAGGCTGCCACTGCTGCTCCAGCCCTAGGTGCAAAGTCACAATTCTGGGGGTGTATTTGTATTTTCTGCTCTCTTGCTCAAATACATTTGTTGGGCCTGAGATTCCAGGTGAGGTTCTGAGGCAGCGTGTGGGTGCAGGGGGTGCCTGGAATGCTGCTTGTCCTTCAGCAAATGAAAATGCCTCCTTCTTACAGACAGGTTGTATTAATACAGAGCAGTTGGACAAGTGCATCCTCTGGCCTGGCAGCACCCTGGGCTCCAGCCTGTTTCTGCACAGGGCAAAACGAGGTGTTATCTGTGAACATCCCATTCTGGAGCTCTCTGCCAGGTTAGGGCTTGGAAAGTCACTCTGTGTCAGCCAACAGCAATGCCAGGGAGGAGGCCAGAAGTGGTGTGAGCTCAGGCCTGTGTTCCCTTTGCTCTTGCAATTCCCACTGCTCTCGATGGGAGGTCTGAGGACAGATGGACTGAGGGATGGGGCCCGGTTTTATATTTACTTCAAGGTCAGTGAAACTCAAGGCAGTTTGTGCTTTTACTGCTCAGGCAGTTATTGCCTGATACTAATTCATTCTTGGAGTGTCCTGTGAGTGTCCCTAGTGAAGGAGTTGGAGATACTTCCTTGGCAGAATTTCATATAATAATACTACTATTAATAATAAATGTATTAAATACAAAGCCTACAAAAAACCCACCCAAAATCTAACACATTGTTTCTTTTACATTTCCTTTAACATCAGACTTTCTTTTGCTTTCATTACAGCTGCTAAATAGACTATTCATGAGGTCTCTCCCCAGCACTAAAGCATCACTCTCTTTGTTGCCAGAACCTCATTGGTGTCACACAGATTTTAAGCCTATGTCCATATCTGATTATCTGTGGAAACAACCTTTCAATGGGGCTTTTTACTGAGTGATTTTGCTAGTGAGCTTTGAAGGACTAATTTTAGTTTCATGACAATAACAATAAGGTCAAGTTGTATGTCTGTACTGCTTTTCAGAGAACCAGACATTCCAGAGCACTGAAGTACTTGCTGTTAGAAGAAGGGCAGATGTAGGACAGGATGGTTGTCACCAGGGAATGGCCACAGCCCACGTGTGGCTCTCCAAGAGCTGCCAGCTCCTTTGGGATGGAACTTGATAGAGCTGAAGTTTGTTTGTGAGCAACGAGGTGTTGTCTGCTTTTCCAGATTTTTTAAAACCAGTTGTGTTACATCTGGGGTGATGCTGAGAGGGGCACTGAGGCTGATAGAGGGTCCAACATGCACTGAGGGCAGCCTAGGTGGTTCTGCAGGGCTGTCAGCACTGAGGTAGCCAGAAATTAAGGAGGCTTTATCAATACTGAATGGAGCAGAGTGAGTAGATGAACTTGTTGCAGATGCTCTAACAAAAATTAAACCCCAGCTGCTGAATTTGCCTAAAATCCCTGGAATAAATGTGACCTGTGGAGAAGATCTGCTAGCAGTGCTCAACAGCACCCATGGGTGCTCTGGTGCTCTCTGGCAGGCTTGGCTGTCAGTAAATGCTGTGTAAATGCTATTGGTTTAAATATTTGTGGGGAGAAACCCAAAGTGCACAAGTGGACCTGCCTGGTGATTCTGCCCCCAGGGATGCCCAGTGGGATCTCTCGTATCAGAGCTGCCCTGACCTGAAGCTTCTGTTCCATTGTCAGTTCCTGCCTGTTGCCTGGCTCCAAGAACTGATTTTAGCAACAGAAAAGGCAGAAGGAAAATTTTACCTGTGTTTTATGATTTCCCTTGAAGTCCTTGGGCAGTCAGATGGGGGATTCAACTTCAGAGTAAATTAAAATTTGTCCCATCATTTGAAAATGTTCACAGGTTGTGCTCCAATAAACCTAGTTTTGCTTTTCAACTCAGTTGGAATTCCTGTTTCTTAAGTGCAAAAGAGGCTAATCATAGAGTAGAAAATAATTTGACTTGCTAATACTAGGAGAGAAAACATTTACAGCAACCACAAATATTTCCAGGATTATGGAGCAGATCATCCTTATGAAAGCTTGTTTCTGGTGGGGTGTTTGAGTAAGGAGGGCTGCACTTTCTAGCAGAGGAAACATTTGCAGGCTGTAGCAGGGAGTTCTCTGTGTTTCTCAAAAGCTGGAGCAAAAAAATGTTGGCAGAGGAATCAAAATCCTCTTCTTCAGTGGAGTCTGCCACCAGGTTTCTTAGGCATGAACTCAGGAAAGTCTTTATTAGGCATAAAAAAAACCCTAGAGGAGGAAAGATGTGCCTCTCACACAGAAGGGGCATTCTGAGCAGAGAGGTGCAGTCTGTCCTCCTCAAGTCAAGCTGTGCTTTTCCAGCTATTCTTCTTCTGATGGTTTCTATTTGGCAGCATGAACTGTCTTCCATGCTGCAGTGAAAAGTGTGATTTTTGCTGGGTGCTGCTTCCCCTGGTGCCATCAGGGGTCATTAATACACACCCGGGGAGTCCCCTCGTGTCGGCGCCGTCCACAATGGGGCAGTTGTTGGGTTTGTTATCACAGTGGAAACTGCTGTGCAGGGAAAGCACAGTCATGCTGCCTCATGTTTCATTGAGAGATGGCAAATCCGTTCCCAAAATACTTCAACTCTTTGCATTGTGTGACAAATGTGTTTTTCTTTTCCCCTTCATCTGTTTCCCCCCCCTGCCCTTCTTTCCTTTTGGAATGAAAAAAAGAGAAAAAGCTCCATTTTGGTTCCATAGGGATGTTGTAGCTCAGGAATTGGCTCCTCTTGGAAAAATCCCCAAACACTGTTACTCTCTGAGACTACAGTTCTCACTCTTAAGCTTCGTATCTCTCATGTATTTCAGGGACTTGCTGGGTTTTTTCCCCCCTATTTTATTTGTTTGTTCTTCTTTAGCATGTTCAGAAGGGTGTAACTTGCTTCTCAAACTTATTTCATGTTGGTGCTGATGTTTGGCATCATCACAGGCTTGTTCTTGTAGGACCTGGTCAGCAGGGATGCCTTTATCCCTCTCAAGAATGAGACAGGCCACATCCAGGGAATTGCCCTTGAACACTCTCATGCCATATATAACAGTACATGGGAAATACAATGAGTAAGAGCCTCATTAGCTCTGTGTTTAAGTGGTTTGTGATGCCTGGATAACTGTTCACTTAAGTACAGCATGTGATGTTACAGCATTATGTGTTGCATAGGAAAGATCATAAAATGTGTAGAAGGCCCTGTTTAGCACTGACTCTCTGAAGGGGAAAGTGCCTCCCCACCTGAGGTCTGGTGTCTCCAGTGGGTTCCTCTGGAAAACTTCCCTCGGGATGCAGCACTAACTTTGATGATCTGGAATCCTCAAGGCAGTTATAACCCAGGTAGTTCAAAAAAGTTGTTGAAAAGCCCCAGGTGGTTCAGTCAGGAGTCTTTAAAGGGCTGGAAACACACATTTCAGTGAAAGATATTCTATCCTGTGTAGCTCGTTCAAGAGGTTAAGAGGTGACATCTTCAAAAATTGAAAAGGGAGAGATGTTGAATGCAGAGGTAAAAGGGGGCAGTGTCTGGCAGGGAGAGGGGGTTAAAATCCCCCCATTAGCACTCGCTGTGGAACTGTGTGTTCTGTGGGGGTGTCACACCAGTCCCTGCCCTTCCCTGTACCCTCTACTGGGCAGAAGTGCAGCAGTGCTGTGCAGCAGCAGAGCAGTGCACCAAGGCTGCTTGGCCAGTGTATTTCCTCCACAAAATATCCTGAGCCAGTTAAAACCACACAGGGGTGCAGAGAACCTCCAACACCTCTCTGGTGGCTTTTCCCCTCTTTCCACTATGGAAGAACAACCAGTACATGCCCCTGACCCGTGCAGCAGGGCAGCCTGCAGGGAACTTCCCTCTCACCCTCCAGCAGCCCCAACTACTGTAGGAATGTGCTCCCATCAGTCCCACCTGAGCTCTGGAGGTGAGGACTGCCTTGTTTGCTGCCCCTGCCTCTGTCCTTAAAGCGTGCCAAGTGGGCTGTGTGAAACTTTGTCCCAGGAAGAGATTAACTGATGTTCACCTGAGTATTTCAGTGTGTTTTGTTCTGCTGTTTCCCCTTTTAGGTGACAGCGAGATTGTAAATAATATGTACGAGACCGACCCTGATCTCCTTGCTGGCGAAAGTGCAGAGGAGGAAACAGAGGACAGTATTATGTCCCCCATTCCTGTCGGACCTCCATCACCCTTTCCCACCAGTGAGGACTTCACTCCCAAGGAGGGCTCACCTTATGAAGCTCCCGTCTACATTCCTGATGACATTCCAATCCCACCAGATTTTGAACTCAGAGAATCTTCGATCCCAGGGGCAGGGCTAGGGATTTGGGCCAAAAAGAAGATTGAAGTTGGGGAAAGATTTGGACCCTATATGGCAGTCCAGAGGAGCACATTAAAGGAGACAAACTTTGGATGGGAGGTAAGCGTGTTGGGTGTGATGATCACATTCCTTTGTCTTCTGTGCAGACTGTTCATGGAGCTGCCCTGGGCTGGGGACAGAAGCAGTGGCTTTGCTGCTGCTGTGTTCCCTGCCTTATTTTGCATCCCTGATTATGGGGAGCATCTGAAAAGCAGCAGAAAGGAGAGCTTCTTGGGCTACAAATGCTGCCCCAGCACCATTTTAGAAGGGTGGTTTTAAATGATGTTGGGTCACTTCTTCAAGTGCTTGTCATTTTCAAAAGGTGTTCAGAACTTGTCACACGGGAAGGAGTGTGATTAGTCGCATCATGTTCTGTAGTTGGGTGTGTTACCTTTGACTCCCAGTCCATGTTAGCTCTGCAGGGTTATTAACTGGGCAGAGGGAAATAGCATGTACCCATTAACAGCCCGGATGTTCTTGAGTTCTTGTGCTGCAGCAGCAAAGATAAAGAAATGTGAAAGTCATTTTCCCCCAAGAGCTAAACAAAAACCTCGATGGGAAAAGCACCTCTACCCCAGAACTGGCATCTCCCTCCCTGCTCTGCTGGGGTTGTCCCAGCAATCATCTTAGCTTCTTCTGCTCCTGTACTCTTGATTGGAAAATGTCTGTACCCTTGGGGATCATCCTAAATGAGATACAGGAGATGAGAAAGGAGGTTCAGTGAGCAGCACCTGGTACCCTGGGCCTGATGCTGTGTCCACAGTCCTGCCCAGTGCACACGGAGGTGGGGAGGCACTGGGGGTAAACCAGTAAGACTCTCCAAGAACACAGTCACAGAAGCCCTGTTTTCTTAGAAAGCAGGTCAAAAAGACCCAGCGTAAGCTCTGACATTTTAAGTTATGTCTGATAACATTTGCCTTCTCTGAGGAATCCCCAGCAGTTACATTCTGTAAGGCCAGATGGTTTTGTTTCCTTTTTAATGTATTGAAGTGCAGGAAAAACCAAACACCACTTGCTATAAAAACAAAACTTGCTCATGTTTTGTCCTTCTGCGGTAGAAAATGTCTGAAGAGCTCAGTTCAGCGTTTGAGTGAATGAGTGGAGAGTTTCCTTTTCTCTCACCTAATG